TGGCAAATTGCTTTCTGCCTGTTCGCACATACTGCCGCAGACACCTTTTTTATGTTTTCATCGGTGCACGAGCTGAAACGACGATGCCACTCAAAAGCTTGCATTCTCGACAACATTTCCCTTCAGTACACATGCTTCAACATTTCAAAAGTCTCCATAGCATTCTTTCCCAAGCGAACACAAAATTTGAGATTGATTCTCTACTCAACTGATGCCATTTCTTTCTATTGGCAATTACTAAATGTACCTGCCTACAAAAAAAACGCTGTTGCTGCGAGCTTTTGACCACATGATTTTGGATAAACCACTTTTAGAAAAAGGGGAGAACATAGTAAAACAAAAACGTTCTCGTAGTCGCACTGCTGCAAAATATTTTTACGTTATAGACTCAGTCCAGGAATTTTTAAATCTTACAACACATATATATATAACTTCAAGGAATATATAAATAAAAAGAAAATAAAACAGATTTGTTTTGACTCTCAGAAAAGTACAAGCTGAAGTAACAAGTTATAGGTCCTCATACGCGCCCCACTGTGAGTACAAATGTTCACATTTGAATTTCAATTACTTAATCATCTTTGAAGTTATGAGTGAGTTCTTAAACTGTCATCAAACTGGCTTTTCCTCATCTTGAACAATAGACAGCACAGAGGGAGTAGGTTTCAGCTTTGCTGTTCTCTCGCTACCTGTGTTAGATCGTGTGTTGAGTTTTTTCCCTTCAAGCTTGTCATTTGTAATGATAGAATTGCCATTTTTGATTTTGTCACAAACTAATGTCTTACTTCCAGCCTGCTCCTAAGATACCAAGAAGTGTCTTTAAGTGTAAAAAATGACCAGTGTTCTTTCAGCAGAATGTTTTAATTGACTAATTCTCCTTGATTAAAGTTTTGTAAATGCAATTTTTAGACAGATAAAAATAGATATCTGCATAGCTTCGTAATCTTCAGTGCAGGACTTCTATTATGTTCAAACTTAAAAGGACTGTTAACACGGTGAAGAATATTTGTCATTTCTTTTTAGTAATTTTTTACATGGCCAGATAGATCAATTTCAAGTAGGTATTAGTAAATCACTAATTGTGAAACTTAGTTGTATTTCGATTTGGCACTTACAGTATAGAGTAAGTGAAGTTATTACTTTATGTTCTGGCAATAAGTTCAGAAAGTCTAATTTTTATCATTCCATAAATTTTGGTTTACAGCAATAGCAAAATGCAACGCACTGGTTTCTATCTAAGGAATATTTGTTTCACAGGCACATACAATATTTAAAACATCCACTTTTTTGTAGCATTTTGCTGCCACGACACCACCTTCTTGAACAGTTTGGTACTATAGCTTTTGGTTCTACAACATACATATAGCAATAAAATTGCTCATAGCCCATATCAAACACTATTGCCTCAAGAAAAGTGAATAATGTTGTTTAGAAGGATAGGAAATGCCAATCATTATATGCTTGATTGTTCCTATGCAGACAAGTGTAATTTTAGGTAACCAGTCACAATAGATGGTGAACATGCTTAGACTACATTGGTGGGAAAAATTAAAGAAACAACTATAAAAACTGCTATAAATTAAATTATTTTTGTTATGAAGGAGGTAGAACTTGCAAATAATCTATAGTTTGCTATGCTTTCAAAACACAAAATTGTATAGTTTTGCAAAAAATTAATTTAAATATGAACATAGGGTATATGATACAAACTACAGTAAGGAAAAATTTGTATTAAAACTTTCTATAGACACAAAGAAAAAACTGTATTGTCTAGAGTTCCTGTGGCAGCAAGGTGTATTCAGAATAAATACAGCCTCAAAGCTCCATAAGAGTACTAAGTAAGGTCTGAAGTAATGCAAGTTGCCATTTTAGTGCTTCTTGCATGATTTTATTGGATTAAATACGTAGAGCATGCAGGCCTCTAAATCTGCTGGATTCTTTCACTTCAAAATATTTGCTTCTAATCTAGAATACAAGGGATAAGCATTATTGTCCATTAGGAGGAAGTTATTACCAACTGTAAACATATACAGTCAAAAGTCGTTAATCTGGACTCGTCAAGACTTCGGCAATTCCAGATTATTGATTTTTCCGGATTATAGATCATCAGTTTAAATCTGGTAAGATGGCAGTCAGAAATTATAAAATTAAAAATATGAAACCGTAATTTATGAAATAAAGAACAATTATGATCTAAAGGGTATCAAATTACACAAAAAAAGCTTAATATTTTATTTGTTTACTTATTAACATTTTCTTTCAACGCGTGCATGCGTAAAGCATACATTACCATAGTCGAAATTAGAAAATTGCAACCAGAAAACTATTTTATGTGTATTCGTGATATTTATAATGAATTTGATTTAAATTATTTAAAAACAGGTACATCGAGATGAAATACTACATTTAGAATGACTATAAGCCGAAACATCTAGCCGAAAGCTAATAAAAAAACATCTGCCCTGAAGATATGGATAGTGCTGACAGATCAACTTCCAGTTCATTGCACCCGCACGTTCCCCTCCCCGCAGAGCAGCGTGAAATTGATAAACAGATTTCAGGATGGTTAGAAAAACAAAGGATATGCCTTTATCCATTTCGCAGCAATTCCACTTTTTGTTTAATGGACTTCGAAACAACTTTCGCTTGTAGATCCTTTACATAGAGTAATATATATCAGAAATTTATTGACATAATCGAAGTTAAGCTTACTTTTATAAAATTGCTCTAACAGTCTGCAAAAATAATAAGGTTGGATCCAATTCGAAGATTAAGGAACAATGCAATCCGCAACATAACTGAATTAGATATTTTAGCTTAGCTTATATCATCGTTATACATTAAAACGCCATGCGTAAACGTATTATGAACATGCGCCACACATATTGCAGCCGTAAGGTCTTACGCGCATGCTTCAACATGACGCATGCGCAGAAAGTTTGTAGCTTTGAGGTCAGGATTATACATCATTCCGGATTATGGGTGTCTGAATTAACGACTGTTGACTGTATAACTTAACATAAGGTCAAGAATCTCATCTCTGTATATTTCAGCATTTGGTAAACACGTGTAGGTCAGCGTAGCCATTCAAAATAATGCCCCCTACCAAGATTACATTACAGTCATACCATGGCTTTTATGGACACTTTCAGGCATTTTGCATCTGTTTACTCCGTCAAGACTGTTATAATAGTTTTGTAAATCCTATGTTTTTAACATATAGTTTATTCTCATAACGCTTCAAAACTGCACTGAAATTAGAATGATTAATTCTGCAGTTTCCTTTAAATATGAAAAGAAGAACGATTACAAATCAAAAATTAAAAAGCAATAATTGTTAAGTAGATCATTAAAAAAAACCATGTTAAAAAAGAAAGGAAATAAACTTGGATTCTAGCATCAGAAGCTGAGTTGTAAGCACAAAGAAGTTTTTCGTAGAAATTTCTACAAGAATCATAAAAATGATAAGAAAGCAGAACAAACTTGTTTTGAATCTAGGAAATGTCTGAGCTGATTTAAGAAGTTCCTCATTCACTATATCTACAAGTGGACACAGTTCTGCACATCTGATATCAAGCACTATTGCCTAAAAAAAAGTGGATAAAGTTCTGTGCAGAATGACAGGAAATGCAAATATGCTCAATTAAGGTGACAGCCACAGGAAATGATACACATGGATAAAAAATAACATCTTGCAAGCATGCAGGGAAAATAACTGAAGTGGCCTTCTGTGTCCCTTTCCTAAATGAAAATACAGTACAGAGTCCGTAATCCGGACGTCCATTATACGGAATGATCTATATATAATCCGGACCTCAAAGTCACAAACTTACACATGCGCGTTTGATGACGCGTCCGCGACGCATGTGCATAAAGCCAGTAAAGCGTTTACACATGCACGCTTCCGATAGTGAAAAAAGTGACAGAGAACAAAAACAAAATGTTATTGTTACGGAAAACAAAAAAATTTCGATTGACAAGTTAGTCGTTTCGACACAGCAATTACAGGAGTTGAACAGTGGAACTTTGTAACTGAAAAGAAATTATGTCTGTTTAATAAGTAAAAAGGAAAATATTAGCACAAAAAAACGAAGCGCAACTTAAACAGCTTACATTGAAAGAAATATTTAATAAAGTAAAAAATAAATATTAACTTTTTTTGTAAATTTTGTTACCCTTTAGATCGTATTGCTCTTATTCAGAAGTTATGGTTCTATTTTAATTTATAATTCTGCAGGTCCTTACCGATTTAAATGTGATCTATAATCTGGAATCGCCGAGTCCCACGAGTCTGATTACGGCCTTGTATGACTATTAAGAGGTAATGATGAAGACAGTGCAGAGTTAAAATTATAGCAAATGAATGCTTTTATCTGATGGTTAGCAATCAAGCTGAATATTCACAGCAGGTTAACAGTCCTCCTTAGTGAACATGTATATAAAATTGACACCATTCTATTTCATTTCTATCAAATGAAATATTATGTGAATTTTTATCATGAATCAATTAAATTCACAAATCTGAAGTAACCTATAATGAATAAATTTAAACAGATGTTAAATTACGGCCTGTACGTACTTATTAAGATAATGACTACATACAGTGCAGAGTTAAAATAAGCAAATAATGCTTAGCTGATGGTTAGGTATCAGGCGATATCACAAGCAGATTAAAGTCTCCTTGAGTGACACGTATATAAAATTCACACACATTTCTATTCATTCTATGAATGAAATATTTATGTGACTTTTTTATTGCAGTGAATCAGATTTAAATTCACAAAATCTGAAAGTATACCTATAATGAAATAAATTTATAAACAGATGTTAAAAATACAATTGATGAAAGGCAAATTCTATTGCATTATTTAGATGAAAGCCCTTTTATAAATAAAATATTTATGAATGGTTATAATACACAACTTTAGAAGTAAATGTAACTACAATAAAAAAACTACTATCAATTAATATTAAAAAAATAGGACTATAAAAATACTTGCCCAAGCACTACCAGATGGCTGATGTATCATTATACTAGAATTAGGAAGAGAATACCGCATACCATGTTCACCAGCGCTAAGCAAAATACTTGCTATGCTGCATGCTCGACCTACACACCAGGTAGCTACTGGGGGCAAAATATATTGCATAGTATCATAAATTGCAAATCCAGCAGTCACCAATCCTCCTACAAAAATAATAAAAGAAAGTACAAAATAATGATTCATAAATTGCAAATCCAGCAGTCACCAATCCACCTACAAAAATAATAAGAGAAAGTACAGAATAATGATTCAGATGAACTTTCATTCAGATGACTTCCCTGCATTCAAGCAAACCGGAATAATTTTGACTCATATTAAGAGAAAAATTATCTTGTGTTTGCAATTAATGGTTTTATATATAGGACAAAAAGACACTTATAATAAAAAAAAAAATGCTTGTACTTAAACATCTTAGATATTATACTACCTAGATATTTTTTCTCTATATCTGTCATAAAAACACAAATTTTGTTTATGAAACATTTTACAACCCACGTTGAAATTATTTATAAATAGCGAAGCTAATACCATTACAGAAACATCTAGTGGCACACATAGCTGCTCAAAGAAAAAATACTTTTGTAAATATGACAAGAGTTGTTGGGAGTTATTTTGAATCATATTAAGATAAAAATTATCTTGTGTTTGCAATTAATGGTTTTATATATAGGACAAAAAGACACTTATAATAAAAAAAAATGCTTGTACTTAAACATCTTAGATATTATACTACCTAGATATTTTTTCTCTATATCAGTCATAAAAACACAAATTTTGTTTATGAAACATTTTACAACCCACCTTGAAATTATTTATAAATAGCGAAGCTAATACCATTACAGAAACATCTAGTGGCACACATAGCTGCTCAAAGAAAAAATACTTTTGTAAATATGACAAGAGTTGTTGGGAGTTAGGATTTACTTAATGACCAAAGACTCATTACATTGTATATTACAAAGTGCTTGCAAATGAGTGTATGAAACTCATAGAATTGAAACAACACTTAGGTAGGAAACACACAAGTATAAAAAGTAAATATATAGAGTTTTTCCATTGTTGTGCTGAAAAACTGAATAGAGAAACCTGTTTTTAAAGCTGATTTTAAAGTGAAAAGCTATTTCTAACGAAACTTGCAACATAATGAAGAAAAGTCCCCCTGTTCTGTAGATGATACTTTGCCCTCCAAAAGTTAAGGAACAGCATATTGTTTGGGTCTAATTTGAGAACAAAGCAACAGAGAAACAAGAAATTTACAGGACATGTTCACTTAACAGTTCTTTAATGAATTGCGACATAGAATGTTTCTAAAGTTCAACACAAATATGAATTACAACAAAAACTTGCATTCTTGGTAGAGAAATCCAGTCTTGGAGAAACAGTATATCGTAGTCTTTTGAGGAAAAAATGGGGTGGTAATACTACAAAAATGGGTTATGGTAAGGAATGTGTCCATCCCCAACTGCAATACATTGGCGGCTGTGCCATTCCATACTGTCAATTAAGTTATTGGTCAGTAAAATGAGAAGCGATGACCAGACACGGGGTAATCCTTGTTCAAGCTTATCTAATGACATTGGAGGAGGACTTGTAGCAGCAACTTATCTCTCAAGATAGTTCCAAAGATGCTCTATTGGATTTAGGTCTGAGATTAAGCTGGCCATTTCATCTGCTCCATACCGTGACCCTGAAGACATTCTTCAGCAACCCAAGCTCGGTGCAGTCACACATTGTCATCCATCAGAAGAAATCCAGGACCAACAGCAGCTGCATATGGGTGGACACATTGATCAAGGATCTTGTCTCAATATCTCACACCAGTCAAAGTTCCTTCATGGAACACATGCAGCTCAGTGTTACCATCGAGAGAGATCTCAGTCCAAATGATTATTCCACTATCACTGTAACTGTGTCTTTCCACAATGTGGGATTGGTTGTATTTGATACATTGTTCTCTCCAGACCAGCTGACAACCTGAATCACTCTCCAATGTGAACCTGGACTCATCTGTGAACCTGGACATCATCTATATAATGCTAATAACATTTTAAGAAAATATACATATATAAAATATGTATCTTTTAATAATTGCAGTCCTTTGTTTAAAAAATAACACTTCTTTTAATTTATAAAAATCAACAGTACTCAACAATTCATTTAAAACATGAAGGAAAAAATCCCATGGCAGCCTGAATATTGATTTAATACAACCTTCAAATGATACATTTATGTGTCAAATCAACAGCATGGGTAATAGCATAAAATCTGTATTCATCAGTAGAATGACTGAAAGTTTATTTTATTCACTTTAGGTAGACAAGACAACAGACATTTTGGATGATGCACAGCTGATTTGTTCTTTCAGACTTAATTTTAGCAATAACATTCATACAAATGTGCTAATTTCGAAGACCCTGCCAACTTGTGCAAATGCAGACCAAATTTTTAAAGTCCTAAATGAGTTCATGCAAGAACTTGATATTGATTGAAAAATATGTCAATAAAGGAAGCCTCATTAGCCAAAGACACTATCTTAATTTAAAAACCCTGCTGAAAAACAGTATTAAGAAAATCTACTTCAGAAAAGTCTCGGAATAGCAGAATATTGTCATTACTTTGTTATGACATGAGTAGCAAGCATAAACAGTGCCTTCTTCATTCTGACGTTTGCTGGCTTTCACATGGCCTTTTGAATCAAGTCCTGTTATTTGTAAATGAAATTTACAATGTTTTTTCATTATTTCTTAACTGATAACTTAAGGATAAGCACATTGGCTTATCTATTATATAAATTCTTGAAACTAAATGAACTAAATCTCTGTTTATAAGGCAATTCTGTGATTGTTCTCAGTGCCCATGAGAAAATAAAGAGATTTAAGAAGAAATTTTGTTGTGGGTTAGTTATGTAAAACAAAAATATTTCATCATTTCCAGCAGTAATATATTTCAGCAGGAATATTAATATTAGATATACTTTTGGGAAAAGAATCATGCAATGACAATGTTTTCATCTCAAAAACTCTGAGGTCACAATTTGAAACTAATTTTTTAGATGATAAATTCAAGGAGTTTTCATGGCTTTCATGATCACTTTTATTGCAATATTAAAAATAGCAAAATGACATTGAATAAAAGAGAACAGTCAAACATTGAATAAAAGAGTCAGGGCAAACAGAAAGACACATGACTTAATAAATTCCAAGGCATGATTCATTTCTGGACCTCATTACCAGTGAAAATGGAACATAGTGAATCGTACAGTTGCACTTTAAAAATTATAATTCAGTTTGCATCTACATATCTTTCTGAGAAAGGGTTTTCATCACTAATTCAAAACAAAGTACTAAAATCAACTTGATATAAGCACCCATCTAACACTTAAGCATATCAGGATACATACAAACATAAAATAACTGTGCAAGAATTAATAAACTCATCCATCTCATTAATGAGTATCAACACTTTTAAATTTTAATAAACTGAATACAAATGAGTGATAGTTTCTTAGATTGCTACAGAAATGGGAGCCAGTACTGGATCAGTGAGAAAAGTCCTACATAAAATGCTGTAGATGTAAAAGCTCTACATCAGATGAGAGCCTTTGGATGTTGATTTGAGAAATAAAGAAACATCAGGTGAAATGTTGAGAACTGCTATCCATGACACAGGCTGGTAAAAATTTTATTCACAGCTTCATCAAGAAATACAAGACCCAGCTTCAAAATGAAAAAAGTATTATACAGAATCACAGTAGGTCTGCGTGACCTCACAAATTCAGAACCCAGAGATCCACAAAGAAGACTAGATCTCAGCTTACAGATCACAGACAACTCTCAATTAAGTGAAAGCAAATTAACTAGCTTACAGATTAATTCAGCCTAAAACAAGATTTATGTTTGTCTACTGTGAATTGATGAAAAAATTCATATTGCAAATAATCAGTGTCAAGAAATAAGCATCAAGCAGAAAATACAGACAGGAAAAGAAAATGATAGCAATTGATGTCATAACTTAGTTTCTTCATTTCTAAGTTTCTAATGATACTTACTCCTCTATACACAGTATTTTTTTTACAATGATTTAATTTATGAACTAAATAAACTTATTCTCCAGGTTAAACTAGTTGAAAATATGGGTTTAACTGTTAAAAGCACATGTTTGTTAATTATAATATGGCTTATTCTTTCCATCGCTTTTTTAAATGCCCTCTTAATCATAATTTTGAGCTAACCATGGACATTGTCCCTAGTAAATCAGGAGCTGACTGCATATATCACATAATACAGTACAAAGTCTCTAATCCGGACGTTCATTATCCGGACCTCAAAGCCACAAACTTATGCATGCACATTTAATGCACATGTCCACTACGCATGCGCATAAAGCCAGTAAAGCGTTTACCCGTGCGCGCTTCCGATAGTGAAGAAAGTAACAGAGAACCAGGGCTTAATTTCCAAGAATAGAAGTACCGTTGCCCTATGGAAGACCGTCAGCAAAGAGGAACAAGAGTAAATAAATAAATAAAATGACTATTATACTCATTAATAATTTTAAAATTAAATAGTTAATTATTATCAAATTAATTAATAGCTATTTAATTAATGTTTATAAATTGTTATTTAATCAAAACAATAATTACTAATTACTAATTATAATTTAATTAATAATTATTAGATAATTATTATTTATTGAAATAATTAAAAATTGAAATAATTAAATAATTTAAATTAAATAAAATGTAAAGAGATAAATTGAAATTTAATAGGCGATTTTTAATATAATTTTACTGTTAAAATAAAATTTCTACTCAAATTGTGATTGTTACAGAAAAGTGCTGCAGCCTTCTTATTCAGGGCTCCGGTGCGCTCTGGATAGAATTATGATTTATTACAAATACTAAGAAGCACCGAAGCCGAAATCCGGTGAGCTCCGGCCCAATTTAAGCTCTGATCGTAGGGGGGGGGGAGTTCTTTTATCATCATAAAAATTAAATATACTTAAAGTATAGCTGATGAAAATTCCATGGCGAAACAAAATGAGGGTATGAGTGGGTGGAAACAAAAAATGAGGGGAATCTTAGTGAGAGAGAACGTTCTCTTTGACCGCGGGTCTCTGCTAATATAATTATAGCCATCAAGCAGAT